AGAAGTTAGGCTTTCATTTTATGAGTATAAACAACAATATAGTAATAAAGGCTAATGTAAGTGGTTTCACACCCTCCCCCTTTCTTTTGAAAAAGCGACGACGAAGTCAAGACGTTTTAATTATGGATAGTCTCACATAGGCGATATCTTGAAGCATGAGGGGATGCGGTATCTAGAATTATTATAATACTTAATATATATGTATATATAGGTTCATTACAAGGATGGTCTATTGTAAGAATGATCTATGAAGTACAATTTGAAAAAATAAACGATTTGGATCGTTAAATTTCGACATGATGTGGGTCCCAAAAAACCAATTGACACATGCGTCTGCATGAGACAAGAGGCTGATATGTATTATATAAGAAGAAATAAAATACACCAGACTTTAAAAAGAATTGATAAGAAAATAGGGGGGCTGGGATGGCCAACTTCTAATTCTCTTTAATTTTATATAAACAATTAACCTTCTACTTGTGGTATTTTGAATGTTGCATTTGCACCAAATTTGTCTTCTCTCTTATAATAAACAACAAACTAAAAAAAACAAAAGAAAATAGAACTTTTGAAGGAATAACACCAGCCGCCACCCCTGTCCGGCCGCCAAGCCACCCATAACACTAACGGAAACTTCCATCTATAAGACTATACCCACTCTGAAAAGAAGGTCCTTAAAAAAGGCATCAAGAAGCTATCCATGCAAAGAACCAGCCATTTGGATCACAGCAGCCAAGTTGGAGGAAGCTAGTCAATGGGAATGCGTCAGTACAGGATGAACCATTAACTTGTCAAATTGGAGAGGTATACCATTAAATTTTGGAAGGAAAACTCAATTGTCCCACCCCATTTTAACTAACGCATTATAACTAAGAAATATTCTAATCGGAATTATTCAATCTTTTCATCACATCTTAAGATTATCTATGCAAATGATCTAAAAATAATCATTCAATTTGAAGATCCTTTACCAATTCACATGCATAAAAAATGAACGATTCATCGTAAAAATGTTAATTATGACTAAAAGAGTTGATTTGTTTGACACAGCATGGATGAGTAAACAATCTCTAAATTAGATGATTTGACAATACAAGAAAATATATGATTCCGATTATGATGTTTATACGATAAAAATATATTATTACAAAACGGATAGACAAGTCGGTTAGGTGGAAACAACAAAGTGTTATCCCACAAGATTTGCATGTTACAAAATGGTACGGTTCCACCAAATTGTCAGTTAGCTGATATTTTTGGTCTAGTGCATTTCCACTCAACGATCGTACTCGTCTGAGTGGTTTTCAATAGCAGGCAGGTGGGATGCTTGACTATGGTCTTTTGAAATTGATTGGAAGACACCTGAGATCTCTCTCGCAGGCCTCACGATCATAATAGCAGAGGAAATGTGGACTATCCAAGCTTATCTTAATTAATTGTACCAATAATTTTCGTAATTGTATATTTTATATAAGTAATATTGGTATTTTCCATCTCTGTCTAGGCACATCAATTATCCGGCATCATCCTTGAGCATGGTCATATCATGACACAATGCATGACATATAAAGCCTACGAAAAAAAAGAAGGAAATAAAAAATAGTAGTTTATCAAAGCTTTTTGAGTATCTGGTAATAATTTACATTAAATTCATTTAAATTATGAAAGAAAAGTGAGTGTGAATTCGGGACATGGTGAGTTGAAAAGGATAACCCTATTCATCAAAATATCCACCATTTGTTAAGTACCTAAGCTTAGAAGAACACTAATGCTAAATCACATTTTAAGTATTTATCGAGCTCGTCCATTGCACAACAATTAGTTCAGAGGCAATTCGGCTAGGACACATGTGGTTCAAGCTGGAGCAAGCTAATGATCAAGAAGGTTACTTGTGACAACCCGTCCCAGAAATATTACAACGTACGTGTGAAAAGACAAAATTGCCCCTAGTTCGATTTCTTTACGTTTATTTGTTGTTTTTGAGTTTGGTTGGCATGTTTGGAGCCACACACACCTTCCCACACACCACAGCCTTTTTCCTCCTGTTTTCTGCACTGTCCCGAGTCCCCATTCCTTCCATTTCCTTTGAAAACGTATGGACACACCCATAACCCTATCAAACCTTCACAGATCGTGGAATCCAAGGCCATATTCGAGCTCGTGAGGCTTGCAGGAGTCCAACCATACCATTTCCAGGTAAGAACACCATCGTTTTCACGTCGAATCCACGATATCCGATTTCGAGTACTGTTCATGCACACGTGATTTTTCACGTTTTAGGGAATTTCAAGCTTGTAGGTAGCTTGGTGAGGTCCCTAGGAGGCTCGGGGTGGTTCGTTTGATGGTTTTGGACGTCGGGAACATTAGTTTCGAAGTTGGCCGGAATTGGGTTGAATTTTCAGGTGAGATTTCGTGGTTTTTAGCCCTTGAAAGTAGTATGATTGTGTTCCTCTAGTTCTAAGCTTCATTTTGGTACCAATTTTGTGAAATTTGGATGAAAAACGAAGAAGATATTGAAGTTTAAAGTTTTCGCGATTTCGCCGGCGCTGGAGGCTCGCCGGAGAAGATGACGGAATATTCCGTCAAGTCTGACGGAATATTCCTGACGCCGTTGAAGGAATCTGTTAAAACTGACGGAATATTCCCTACGGCATCAGTTGACGCTGTCAGCGTGCCAGGCATGTGCCTGCGCGTGGCCGGCGCGTGCAGCGGTGAAAAATTATTTTAAAAATATGGGGATGTTCCTGAGGTTGAGTAGATCACGTTGGTGTATTCATACACCCTATTTGAGCAATGTATGAGAAGTTATTTCAAAAGTTTGGTTATGTGCTTTAAAAATTAACGTTTTTATAGTTATTTCGCATATAGGTGAGACGTATCCCGAGGACGAGCGTGGTCACTCGAGGCAGGGGGGTTACGACCCTTCCACTTACCAGTGAGTGGGCTTTTGGTTTTCCGTACATACCTATATACTTATATTTTTCCCAGAAATTGATTTGAATTATCATTTGCCATATGCCATGCATTAGATTATCGTTATTTATGCATCGTTAGTTGCATCATTAGTGTATACATATATATATATATACACATATGCATATTGGGTGCTGCGGACGCACAGGTAAGTGTTATTTATGTTTACATTCAGTAGTGATTCGAGATGCTTAGAGAGCTCATAACCTGCACCCCCGATGTTAGTGCTCCCGCCCAGAGTAGGGCACAGTCCTTCACGTGTTGTTCACCTTCCGCACCACATGCTCAGCTTGGATCCAAGTTAGGTGCACAGTCCTGTCGTACAGACCACTTTAGGTGGTTCCGACTCGTAGGTGACCCGCGATTATTCGCACAGCCTTCACGTGATCGTAGCACTAGAGCGTTTATATGTATTACACCCAGGCATGTCGTACAGACCACTTTAGGTGGTTCCGACTCGTGGGCAGGTTTAGTTATTGATATTGAGATTTGAGCTCTAGATACAGCCGTACAGGTCACGTTAGGTGACTCCGGCTGCCAGATTATATGTTATTGATATGATTTATACCTAAGCACTTGCATTTCATTTTGAGGTTCCGACATGGCACATTCTAGAGCATGATTGGCATATATATATATATATATATATATATATATATATATACGTATGTTTATTTTCTGGGAAGTATACAGATTTTACGGCGAGGGGTTAGAACTTATTTGTTAAATGGTTTTCGAAAAGCTTTGTTTTTGCCCACTCACGCTTTTGTTTTGCGCCCCTCCAGGTTCTAGCGGTCTAACTGGTTCGGTGGTTTCCCAGAGGGCTTTCCCGGCATTTCTGACAGACGATCATCAGTGTAGGGCCACCTTCGGGTGTATAGTTGTCGCGTCGTTTTAGTTGGACTACTTAGGCGTCATGCTCTGAACTTGTGTCTCACTTACGCTAGCACTTGTTCTATTACCATATGTATGCTAGTTTTTATTTATTCGTATTTCTTCTATTATTATTTTATTAGCTTCCGCACTGTGCACATGGTTACGTCACTTCCACGTGACGGCCAGCATGCCCTGACCTCGATCGGGGTGTGTCATTACTGGTGACTCAAGTAAAATACTTGATTAAGTTGAGCATGTTCAAGAAAACCTAGAGCCTAGAGGTGGTTAAATTTCCTAGCTAGGTGGAGCATTGCTTAACAACTCCTAATCGAAGGTGAAGTTGCAAAAAAACCATGTCACACTTGCAAGTGCGAGGGTTGTAAGGGGCACGTCAACTTGGCCTTGGTCTTGCTTGACTAGTTTGACTATTCAATGATGAGTAGGAATTTTTACTCAAGATTCTTTGTAGCTGATTAGTAGAATTTCGTACTTATGATTAAGTCTGGTCTTATTATAAATCACTCTGTCAAGATCATGTTTACAAAAAATCAATTAAAACTAAAGTCGTTTAATCAATCAACTATAAAAATTAGATAAATGGTTCGTAATACTATTGTGGATTGACTAAATAAACTGTCTATCTATTTGCTGCAACTGATTGACTAAACAATCTTAGTTTTAATTGATTTTTTGTAGAAATGATCTCCGTAAAGAAGGATTTATAATATGATCGGTTCTGATAATAAGCTTGACGTTCTTTGAATTGGCCACAAAGAGTTTGGAGTAGGAATTTTTACTCATTCTCGAATAGTCAAGTACTATTCGTCTTGCTTTGTTTGGGTAGTGTGGCTTGGTACAAGCATGGAGTTAATCATACATTGAAAAAGTACCACAAATAAAATAAAATTACATAAACGGTTCACCATTAATAACATAAAAACATTTTAAGATAAAACCTCACACTAAGATGCGTCTAGAAAAATTGTGGCTACTAAGCTTTATTAAAAAGTTGAAAAGTCTATTGACATATCTACTGAAATATGAAATTATTTGTTGGACTGACCCAAATTTCGTATTCAATTTAAATATGTGTGTGTTTTCATGTATGTATACATAAAAAGTAGCAAGTAGCCAATAAAACCTTGAAGCTGACTGAAAGCTCCTTGGAGCAAAGCAAAGTTTAGACTTCAGATTCAAGCAAGCACCTTTGTCTATATATATTGAAATCCGAGTTGCTCAAATTGGAGACCAATGCCATATATGAAAATGAAGTGCCTAGTAATGGAGAGGCATAAGGCTTATGTTGCAATGCTCTTCATACAGTTTGTGTATGCAGGTATGGCCTTGTTCTCAAAGGCAGCAATTTCTAAAGGAATGAACCCTTATGTCTTTGTGGTTTATCGTCAAGGTTTTGCCTCCCTTGCCTTGGCTCCCTTTGCGTTCTTCCTTGAAAGGTTGTTAGTTACTCCTCCTAATTAAACCCACTCTCCCACTTAATTAGTGTTATATTGTTTTTGAATCTTTTTTTGTTTTCTGAATTTTCAGTTCAAAAGAAGCTCCTCTTTCCTACACCTTACTCTGCAAGATTTTCTTAGTCTCCTTATCTGGGTACGTATGAACTTGGTTTAGTTTTTGCTCTCATCAACATTTCAATTAATCAAGTTCTCTAATCTTGTATTATCTCTCTAATCTAGGATTACCCTGAGTTTAAATCTCTATTATGTTGCAATCAACTACACCTCTGCAACCTTTGCTGCAGCCACCACCACTTTAATTCCTGCGATCACTTTTTTCATGGCCGTTTTATTAAGGTAATTAAATTAAACTTTATATGATATTTTACTTATTACTTAAGGTGTGTGTGTATATATAGATAGATAGTTTTGTCAAATATTGACGAAGAAAGTTGGTTTTTAATTAACTTTTTTGTGCAGGATGGAAAGCATTTCTATGAAACATTTGAACGGAGTGGCCAAGGTGTTGGGTTCTCTCACAAGCCTTTCAGGAGCATTGGTGTTTGCTTTAGTGAAAGGGCCTTCCATAAACTTCAACTGGTTTCCATCAAATCAAAGGCAAATTCCACACCCCTCCTCATCAACTTCCTCCACAGGAGGAGACTGGTTAAAAGGTTCCCTCATCATGATCTCGGCTAATACTGCATGGGCTTTGTGGTTAATTTTGCAGGTTCATCTCATCACCACCACTATATTTATTTATTGTTTATGCACGAGAGATTAGAACTTAAGACTTCAGGTGCATCTTATCACCGTTATTAGCTTAAACTAAATGGAATTCTTCTTTGCTAGATATTTTATAATTAAGAAAAAAGGGTTTTCTTACCAGACGGTGAATTTGGAAGATATTAAGCTTGGTAAAATAACGTTTTTCGTTTTTTTTTTTTTTTTTTTTTTTTTTTGGGTGCCTCTTGCCTTGTTAACTAGTGCTTATGTTCTAGGGTCCCATTATCAAGCAATATCCGGCAAAGTTGAGGCTTACCACTTTGCAATGCTTCTTCAGCTGCATCCTGTCAGCTTTCTGGGCCATTGCATTTGAGAGAAACCCATCAGCTTGGAAGATTGGATGGGACATTCATCTTCTCTCTGTTGTCTATTGTGTAAGTCATTCCTACATAACCACGGGCATATAGAATTCTTGCATACAACATGTATATGTTTTGTGCGGTTTTTTCTCATTTTTTTGATAACTATAACAACGATAAAATGAGTGAAAAGATCATTATATACACACGTCGTATGCAAGAAATTACTATTCCCAGTTAGTATTTTATGATAGTCATTTGTATGTACCGACTTAAAAAATACTTGCACACAACGTGTATATGTTTTACATGACATTTTTCTTGTTTATATCATACCATTCAAAAAATATGTAACAAAATCACTTCATACATCCGTTGTATGCATGAAATTACCATCCTCGACAATCAAATTTAACCATGCATGAAATGACTGCATGATAAAACAAAACAATTAATATTTGCAACTAAATCACAAAGATCTTTTGTCTTGAGAACTATTTGGACCACTTATATATGTCTTCTCAGACATTAAGGATTGCATGCCGTGCAGATCCCTTTGGACCATATAACTATTTGGACCACTTGTATATGTTATCTTAGACATTGAGGATTGCATGCCGTGCAGATCCCTTTGGACCATATATATGTAAGTGGCTCAATTAGTTCCTAAAAAGGTACTATTTGAAAATGTTCTGGATTTGTATATGGCTCCTATTCCCTCAAAGAGATGGGATAATGACTCATATTTTGATCTATTAGTATTCATAGGGTTGTTATGAGATCACATGCATATTTATCCAGCATTACATATAATATACATGGGCATGCATCTATATAAATATATCACATACATATACAAACATAGGGGAGCGCTCACATGCTAAATGATTAGTAACTTAATACAACAATATCACATGTTTGAGCTCATTTCGTCATATTTTTTTCATGATCTAAACCGTTCATCTTTTAAATTTTTATCTATAGATTATTTTTATAAAATTTTCATTTGATCAGTAGATTTTTGTCGTGAACATTTCATTGAGTTCTCATGGTAATTAATTGGTAATGGCAGGGTGTAATTGTAACTGGGATTACTTATTGGCTGCAAGTTTGGGTTATAGAGAAGAAGGGCCCGGTATTCACTGCATCGTTCACTCCATTATCACTTATTATAACAGCCGTCTTCTCAGCGTTCATGTGGAAAGAAGCCATCTACTTGGGAAGGTCCATATCTTTATCTATCATACATTTTATTTCTGAATGGTGCCGAACATACCATTTACTTCAATTATATTTTATAGACTACAAGATGTGACGGCTAATAATTGAATTTCTTCTTTAAATCATTAGAAAAAGAATTCAACTATCAACCGTCACATCATGTGATTACATCCTCATTATTCAAATCACTTGATGCTGAAAAAGTGAAAAATTGAGACAATCACCAATGCGTGTAGCGGTATTCTTTTAAGTATTGATGTCGAATTACACATATGAATGTGACTATTTTTGTGATCGAATTTAAATAACGTGTTGCAGTATCGGAGGGGGTGTATTGCTAGTTGCGGGTCTCTATGGGGTGTTGTGGGTAAAGAAGAAAGAGGACCAAAGGAGGCAAGAAAGTGATCAAAAACAAGAAAACAAGCCGGAAGTCGTATAACATGATATAGATGGGATGGGAGGGAATTTAGTATTTCTAAGTTTTGATTGCAGTGTATATAGACATGGATGCTATCACATAGATTTGTATTTGCTAATTAACTTCGAAACTCGGAGCTGTGCTAAAAATTATCAATGGTTAAATCTCGTGGATAAGCGTAAATTCCCATGGTGCATATATGGTTAAATTTGCAAGATACTAACAAATACTCTTAGTTTGAAAAATTCGACACGAAAAAGAACACTTGCTATAATAAAGGTTAGCAGAGAGCACACACTTTGTATGTATGAACAATTTCTCTTAATAAGTAATTTTTTTTTTAATATTACATCATTACTGTTTTGTCCTTCTTATGTAAATATTGTGTATTAAAAGTGAGGGTAAAATTGAAAAAATAAGTATATGATTGTCATTTTCTAAAAAAAAAAACAAAAGGATAAAATAGGAAAAATAAGTATATGATTGTCATTTTCTAAATAAAAAAAAGAGGGTAAAATAGGAAAAATAGGGATATGATTGTCATTTTGTCAAAGAGTAGAAAATTACTATTTTGCCCTCTTTTTGTCAATAGATCAAAAGTGTGGGCAAAATAGAAAAAAAAAAAAGTTGATAAGAAGGATTCTCTTAATAGGTATAGATAATATTTGAATAATAACCGGTACCCAAATATATTAAATGGGTCAATAGTATTATAACTAGTATGTTGATATGGTGTTTTAGGGAAATTTAAAGTAATTAAGGACTTAAAATTGACTAAAAAATAAGTTATAATAGTTGAGTAGTAGGGGGTCATGCTAATCGTCTCTGTATTGTTTCAGTCTATTAGATTAGGAATGTGATTGTGTATATCCTAACATATCTAGGATATCCTTATGAGATTCTACCACATCTCTTAGACTATATATTATTCTATTAGAGTTCTAATTCTATTAGGATAAGAAATTATCCTTCCATACTACTATAGATAAATGTATAATAAAGTGGAATAGAACACACCTCACAATTACACATCTCTCTTTCTCTCTACTATTGGCGCACCCTCTCTCTATGGCCTCCATAAACGTTCAGTAAATTATGCCTACAATAGAGCTGAATTTATTTGTACATTCTAATGTAGCGGGCCATGCTAATCATCTCTGTATTGTTTGAATTTTGTTGTCTCTGTATTGTTGAATTTTATCGAATGGCCCATGGAGAGGACTAGGCTGAATTTTTTATTTGTATTGTAGTCCATGAGATTTGAACTCAAGTTTTCCTCTAGGTACTGTTTGGTATGTGGGACGGGACGGAACAGAGTGGGACAAGGCGTTCCGTCCCACGTTTGGTGCGCCTAAAACAGGTGGAACGAGCTGTTCCACAGAACGAGTTTTGGGTGAATTTTCGTTCCGCCTCACCCTCCTGGAACGACTCATTCCACATCCGTGGAACACAAAATTATAACCTCTCCGTCTCCGTCTCCTTCTTCTTCCTCCTTGTTTCCATCCGAGGGCATCTTTGCTCCCGCTCCGTCCCATTTCGTTCCGTTCCGTCCCGTCCCATTCCGTTCCGTCCCGTCCCGTCTGCATACCAAACAATACCCTAGCGAACTAAAAAATAATTTTTGCTAGATCAAAGAATTAATAATGCAATAAAAATCATATGGGCTTTGGGTTTTGGGCCCTCGTATGGGCTTTGGGTTTGGACCCCCCATATGGGCTTTGGGGTTTGGGCTCACAAATTTAACGAAATTTCACTTTGATCCTTACAAGTATTTATGTTTCAATTTCAACTGTAAAATTGTTTCGTTTTCACAATCGGTCCAATTCCACTTGGTAGTTTAATCGAAAGTTTCCCCTCCTTCAAAGTTTCAAACCCTTAACCCTCCGCAACTCAAAATCCCTTCTCTTCCCTTCCAAGTTTTCACACAATGAAGCGCTCAGCCGATGGCGTTCCCATCGCCGCTTCCTCCGCCACCGCCTCCTCCTCGCTGCCGCCCAAGAAACCCGTTTTCTTAACTAAAGCCCAACGCGAGCAATTAGCCCTCCAACGCCGTCAAGAACAAACCGAAGATCAAAAGCGCCACCAGAACCATCTCCTCTCCAGTCTTTCCCACTCGCGCCCTTCCTCTGACGCTGCACCGCCCGCAACCACCGCCAATTCTGACCGAGACCGAGATCGAGACAGAGACAGAGACCGAGATCATAGGGACCGAGACCGGGATAGAGACAGGGACCGATACTCCCGTGACCGGGAACGAGACCGGGAACGAGATTCCGAGCGGCGGAACCGAGACCGAGACCGAGATAGGGAGCGGGAAGAGGAGGCAAAGGCTCGAGAGCGTGCCCGCTTAGACAAATTAGCGGAGCGCGAGCGGGACAAAGAGTTGGAAGCCATTAAAGAGCAGTATCTCGGATCGAAGAAGCCCAAGAAGCGAGTCATCAAACCCAGCGAGAAGTTCCGATTCTCTTTCGATTGGGAGAACACGGAGGACACCTCTCGGGATATGAATGCTTTGTACCAAAACCCTCATGAGGCCCAGCTTTTGTTTGGGCGAGGGTTTCGAGCCGGGATGGATAGAAGGGAGCAGAAGAAGCTTGCTGTGAAGTACGAGAGGGAGCTGCGTGAGGAGATTCGGAAGAAGGACGGCGTAGAGGAGAGGCCCGAGGAGGCCGCTGCGCAGAGGCTCAAGGAGGAGGCTGCGGAAATGTATGACACTTTTGACATGAGGGTTGATCGCCATTGGACTGATAAGAAGCTTGAAGAGATGACTGAGAGGGATTGGAGGATTTTTAGGGAGGATTTTAACATTTCGTACAAGGGGTCGAGGATTCCGAGGCCAATGAGGAGTTGGGCTGAGAGTAAATTGAGTGAGGAGTTGCTTAAGACTGTGGAGAAAGCTGGGTACAAAAAGCCTTCTCCTATTCAGATGGCGGCAATTCCACTTGGGATGCAACAGCGCGACGTTATTGGCATTGCTGAGACTGGTTCGGGTAAGACTGCTGCCTTTGTTCTTCCTATGTTGACTTATATTTCGAGGTTGCCTCCCATTAGTGAGGAGAATGCGGCCGAAGGGCCTTATGCTGTTGTTATGGCGCCTACTCGTGAGCTTGCACAACAGATTGAGGATGAGACTAACAAGTTTGCGCAATACTTGGGTATCAAAGTGGTTTCCATTGTTGGCGGGCAGTCGATCGAGGATCAAGGTTTTAGAATTAGGCAAGGCTGTGCGGTTGTAATTGCTACTCCAGGGCGTTTGATTGATTGCTTGGAGAGGCGTTATGCTGTTCTTAACCAGTGCAACTATGTTGTTCTGGATGAGGCTGATAGGATGATTGATATGGGGTTTGAGCCACAGGTTGTCGGTGTTTTAGATGCAATGCCCTCCAGCAATTTCAAACCTGAGAATGAGGACGAAGAACTTGATGAGAAGAAGATTTATAGAACCACTTATATGTTCAGTGCCACCATGCCCCCTGCTGTGGAACGGCTTGCTAGGAAGTACTTGAGGAATCCTGTTGTGGTCACAATTGGAACAGCTGGAAAGACAACTGATTTAATTACTCAGAATGTAATCATGACCAAGGAATCAGAAAAGTTCGAGAGGTTAAAGAGATTGCTTGACGAACTTGGTGATAAGACTGCTATTGTGTTCGTTAACACCAAGAAGAATGCAGACTATGTTGCTAAGAGTTTGGATAAAAATGGATATCGTGTGACCACTTTGCATGGAGGGAAGTCACAGGAGCAGAGAGAAATTAGCCTCGAAGGTTTTCGGACCAAGAAATACAATGTTCTAGTTGCGACCGATGTTGCAGGTCGTGGGATTGACATACCTGATGTGGCCTATGTTATTAATTACGATATGCCTGGGAATATCGAACAGTACACTCATCGTATTGGGCGTACTGGCCGTGCAGGGAAGACTGGTGTGGCCACAACATTCTTGACTATGCATGACACAGATGTATTTTATGATCTCAAGCAGATGCTTATTCAGAGTAATAGTCATGTTCCTCCTGAACTGGCGAAACATGAGGCCTCAAAGTTCAAGCCGGGTTCAGTGCCTGATAGACCACCAAGGCGTAATGATACTATTTTTACTCACTAAGAAGTTAGGAGTTTACCAGAGTTTTCGACGGAGGGCCCAACTTATTCTCCGTGTGATGGTGTTTGGTGGCTGAGACATCTTTGCTTAATGCTGGAACTGAAGAAGAAAGTTGCTTTGTATGGGATTGTGCTCATCTAAAATTTGTGCCGTACTGTAATTGGCAAATTGATGTCATAGACTCTTTTGCTCTAGAATAATGTTGTTAACTGTTATGTTTGCTAGAATTATGACGATATCAGTTTGAATGTTTACTTTTTCACTCATCATTGAGTTTTGCAAATTATTCATTCACTTGAGTGGGTTGTCTTCAAATACTATCTTTGTCTGTTGATGTTTTCATATCACATTTGTATGCAGAAATAAACATTAAAGCTACTCTTGTATGCTCGTTATGTATTATGTGTGTATTATGTTCACAGTGTGGTGGTCACTTCCACCTTGGAGGTTCTTGGCAACATATCTCCGAGAATCTGCTGGACCACCTTGCTGGATGGCACTGGTTGGTTTGGCGCTTTTCTGTGCATGCTAGATTTGTCGAAGCAATTTGGTATTAAGGTGCTGTTTTCTACTATGGTATGTGATTTAAGTTATTGCTGATATGTGGTATTATTGAGGATTAACTGTGATTAGCAAGGAAATAAATATGAAGGAAGAGAAAATAAAGAAAGCTCTGTTTATGAATCATAACATTAAGTTTGTAAGTATTGGATAAGAATAGATGGTTATCTTTTATAGAGTTATAAGATTTTGACAAACCAATACCATGTCGAAATAATTAGTGTCGTTGCTAGCTACTGCTGTAGTTTTGGCTTTTGATAGAATGTAATTTTGAGTTCTTGACAGCACATAATATACCAATAACAATGTTGATATTACAAAACATGATCAGGAATCGAAGCATATAACATTTGAAGCACGTTGGTGTACATAAGTGCAATATCTTTTACCTCCAATGAGCTTAATCTTCCAACTGATGTTAACATATATTCGTATGCATTTGTAATTGTTTCATGTTTTTGGTATTGAAAAGTGGTGTATTGTTGAACTGCATTTCGTAATATCACCTTTGCATAAC